GAGAACTTCAATAAGGTATACAGAGAGAAATGCTCTGAGCCTAGGAATAAAGGCACAGAATGTACAATTTTTTTTTTTTGGTTGTTTTTCTAAATGCCTAAATTTAGAGGGGGAAAAAGGGACACTTTTTCACTGTGATTTTCCTTAATTTTTCATTTTTTCTCAGAATATACGCAAAGGGTTAATACCATTTACATTTCTTCTGATAAGCTATCTGTCCTGGACAGAGAAATAATATGAAATAAAAGATCAAGAAAAATCACTGACATTGTATTTTTTAACTGCCTCTCAAAATAGGTCTGAACTATGTGAACCTAGGTTCTTCAGTTTTTTATATCTTGAAAGCTATATACAGGTAGATAATTTTCTTTTTTTGCCTCTCTCCCTCCCTCTCTTCTTCTCAATGTGTTTTTGGAATATATAATGCAAGTACCTGGTACAAAATTTAGAAAGACACAAAAAAGTTACATAACTAATGTCCCTGCCACCCCTGGCCACCTCTTCTCTCAGTTCCCCTCCACAGAGTCTTTCTTATCAGTTCCTAATATATCTTCCCAGAGATGTTCCATATTTATGTAACTACATACTTATGTGTGTGTATCCCCCTATATAAATAGAAATATACTATATCATTAGCCTACTTTACTCACTTAGAAATTTGATATTACCACATATAAATTCAATTCTTGTAAAGTCACCTTTAAAAAATAGCTACATAGCCTCCACAGTATTCCATTATAGGAACATATCATTTATTTAACCACTTCTCGACTGAGATACATTTAGTTGGATTCTAATCACCTCTGCAATGACTTGTAAAGAAGATTCTGATGTATTATAGGCAACTACTGACTAAACAGTGGATAAGCTATTCTTAGATGCTAATGTAATTTTGGCTAATAGTTCCAAAGTGTCCATGAAACAAGAATACAATTCTTTAGCTAAAACCAAAGGTTATTTTAAGGTCAATAAAAGTGAATTTATCTAGAAAAAATTCTGTACCATATTAGTTCTTTTAATCAAGGTGAAATTAGAAAGAAAACCTTTTAAAAAATTAAATTTCAACTGATAATATCCAATTACTGTTGATGCAATGAAAATGACCAACTGATAATCACTAACTTACCCTTCTCCCTTCAGCTAATTTTATTTATTTATTTTTTTACCTTCAGCTAACTTTAAATTACATCCTACAGAAAAGACTAGAAAGTTAAAAAGAACTCAGAACTAGAATGGATCTGTGTGCATTAGTTGCTCAGTCGTGCCCAACTCTTTGCAACCCCATGGACTATAGCTCGCCAGGCTCCTCTGTCCATGAGATTTTCCAGGCAAGAATACTGGAGTGTGTTACCATTTCCTTCTCCAGCAGATCTTTCCAACCAAGCAATCAAACTCAGGTCTCCTGCATTGAAGGCAGATTCTTTACTCTCTGAGCCACCAAGGAAGCCACCAGAATGGATCTGATTCTCAAATTAAAAATAGGAAGCCTTTAAAAAGGGGACAGTGGGTAATGTAACTTCACTGAACAGCAAATGCATATAATTAGAGGAACTTATTCTTAAAGGGAGACACTATATCCTTAAAAAGACACCTGCTAATCAACATTTGGATGACTGCTGTTAGCCCTTTCCCATTTTTCCTGTTGAAACTGAATTTTAATAGTAGAATTCCACAACTGACAGTGCTATCTTGATCAGCTACAACAATGCTAACATGATAATCTGCGTTCCTGTTTCTAGGGAATTCCTTTTCCTGGTATCCAAGTCCCTGTCTGAGACTAAAGTCCAGCCCTGAAAGCCAGTGTGGGAATTCACCTTTATCAGCCATGATTAGACTGTATGTCAAACACTGATCTAAGTGCCAAACCTAAGAGACAAAAATCCCTTCTCTTATGGAGGCTGACTTCCTGACAGAGCTGACTAGTGTTTGTCCTCCAAATTCTTCACTGCTCTGCTATATACATTCTGGAACATGAGCAATCCCTCTGATATTCCCCCTGGTAGCCAACTGCTGGCATATGAGCAGGTTTATGAAACACCTGGACACAGTTCCTTACTTACCTTGCCTAACCCATGCTATCACAGTGTAAGCTGCTGTATTCAACAGATCAAGTGCCATGTTTTTGCTCCTCTCCATCTGATTTGCTGTGCTGTGGATCATGGAAGAAGTCAGCTCTTTGGGAAGACTGTTCAGAGCTCAGATCGACATATGGCCTCAACATGAATCTTTAGATTGCCCTGTCCTATATGGTAGCCACTAGCCACACCTGACTACTAAGCACGTGAAGTATGGCAGGTGCTTCAAGTGTAAAATACACACTGGATTTCAAAGCAAAATAAAGAAAATGAGAGAGAGAGAGAAAAGAAAGAAAGAAAAAGGAAGTACAGAAGGTGGGAGAGAGATCTCAGTAACTTTTTAAAGTGTTGATTAAATGTTGAAGTGATAACACAAATATACATATATTATCAAAATTAATTCTAGCAATTTCTTCTTTCTAAAATGTGGCTATTAGACAATTTAAAATTATATACATCATTTGCATTATATTTTTTTCTAAACTGTGCTGTTTTAGAATTGTAACTAATGGCAGCAACAACAAAGTCATTATTTTGAGGATTGCCTGCATATCTAGATGTCATTAGAAAAATATCTAAAGATGAAAATTCCTCTTTATAGAAAAACTGCCAGCTAATAAATAGTGGAGGAGTGCTAGATTACATCATCACCATTTTACAATCTATCAGAATAAGTGATTCAGGTGAGCATCATCAATGGATGCTAAGACCATTGGCAAAATGGTTGTTACAAAAAAGGCTATTTATCCAGTGTCAAAATAATTCCCAAGAGATTATTTACAACCTGCAAAAACAGGATCCAGTGGCCACCACTTTATTTATTTATTTTGTGGCCACCACTTTAACAAATAATCAAACTTAGCAAATGAGTAGTGCTACAAACTGACTTTTACACGCCTCTTGACATGTGGTAACATGAGGTAAAATTACCTACAGAGCATTTGCCCTAATATTTTATTGTGAAAATTTTCAAACATACAGCAATGATGAAAGAATTTTATAGTGAATGTCTGTACCTATACCCCCTAATATTTTACTATACCTAGTTTATCACATATTCATTTTATCCTCATGTGTTTCAAAGTTAATTAAGGCCATCAGTAAATGTCCTCCTTAAACGATCTTTGAATTATTCTTGCCAAACATATTTAAGCTCAATCTAACCAAGCTTCCAATCCTACCTTTCAGTTTAGGTGAAATACACAGGCTACAGAAAAACAAGTTAGTTCACACTAAGAGGAAAAAGGAAAGCCCAGAATGTAGGATGCTTTGTAAGATGAGATGGTTTAAAAAATTTATGCCATGAAAGAAAAATTTTAAGTGACTAGATTTAAGAGTCTAAAGAGACATAACAAATTCCAATTTGTCAACCTAAATAACATTTAATTTTTAAAAAAGCTAATAAATCAAGGGTATGGGATTAACAGATACAAGCAACTACACATAAAATATATAAGCAACAAGGATTTACTGTACAGCACAGGGAACTACAGTCAGTATCTTATAATAATCTTTAATGGAAAATAATCTGAAACATATATATAATTGAATCACTTTGCTGTACACTTGAAACTTAACACAATATTATAAATCAACTACACGCCAATTAAAAATTAATTCAAAAAGAAGCTACAAAAAACATTCCTTCAACAACTGAAGAAATGTGAATATGGACTGGATATTAGCTGATATTAAGGAATTATAATTAATTTTCTTAAATGTGATAGTAGGGGCTGTAGTTAAGTACCACTGTCCTTTTTTTAAGCAGACAAATGCTAAAGAGAGAGAAAGAGCATGTTTGTATACATCCATACATTTAAAATTATTTTATTTATTTTATAGGTATAACACAAACACAGCAAATTGTGAACAATCACTGTATCTAAGAGGAGGGTAAACAGGTGTTAAGGGTGCTAGTTTTTCAACTTTTTTGTACATCTGTAACATTTAAGTATAGAAAATGGGGGCTGGTTAGTTTAAAAAATTCATTGGGGAGAGTATGCTGTTCTCTTTTGTCTGCTCAAGGCTTTCAAAAAAAGTGATCTTTGAAAAACAAGTCTTACCACAGACACACACACACAAACAGGTCTCCATAACACTATTTCCACCTCAGAGCCAATGCTAATATTATTATCTAAGAGTCTTCAATACACAATATTTGGATTGATAATTTAGTCTGTAAGCAAAGGTTTTAATGCTACAGTGTTACAGAAGAAGCTCAGTCACAAGGTTAAACTTAAGACTGACTTCACTGCGACCAGTCTTTGTAATGTGTAGACTGAAACAGTCTGTCAAAAACTTCAGATTTTACTTTATATATCACCTGTTAAAAGTATCCTGCAATAGATCTTGCATATCCTGGTAACTTCTGGCACAAAGGTTTCTGTGATCTTTTCCCTTAAGATTTCATTCTATTCAAAGCCCCGAAGTCAAAGGGGCAGCTCACTCTAAAGTCCAAAGACACATTCATTAGAATTAGAAACAGAAAATTATTAGCAGAAGCCACTGGATATGGTATACTGTGAACAAAATAAAAATAGTAAACAAGATTTACAAACACACGTAAAACTAGGTATGAAATACTATATGTACCTTTAGTTGAGAGGGGAAAATAAAACTGACCACTGACAATCATGACCATTCTTTCCAATTATGGTTAGAAATGTCATACAACCTGGAAACAGAGAGGCACCTTGGAGGAATCAATGAAGATGACTAGATAATGCTGAACACTAAACTAAAAACTGGTATAATAATCAGGGCTTAGGTTTTACAGTTAAAGAGAGTTTTCTGACATAAAGGAGCAACAGCAGCATATGAAACTACCTTGGGGAAGACAAATCAGCACACAGATTCAATAAAGTAATTAATTAATTATACTTGTCCTGTTTCAAAGGCAATTAAAAAAAGGAAAAATTTTTTTACCAGGGTTTGTCTTTTCAAGTTGATACCATCGGTAAAATGCTCTTTTCTTCTGTTCACTCAGGTCTGATCCCTGCTGCAACAACCAGTGAGAGATCCGGCTCTGGCTGATACCTACAGAGAAAGAAAAACAGCTGCTGTGGGTGCTGCAGTGACAGGGAAGTGAATGAGGGGTCTGCTGGTACTAGGTTACTGGGTACTTTACTCTCTCACTCTACAAGGAAGCTGCAACTTGAGCAAGGCTTTTAATACTGGGCTTCTTTGTAAAAGCTGACTGCAAGGATAGATTCAGAAATGATCTATTAGAGGTCAAAGCATTTTATTTACCAAGACTTCAAAATGCTTTCTAAATTCATCTCTAAACCAGGTCCCGAATATGAGATAAAGTCAGAAGTTGATTCAATTTGTGCTCCTTCAACCACCGTCACCACCTCCACCCCAATCTTGATTTATATGACATTAGAACTTTTACCAGGTATTTAGAAGGAAATAAATCAAGACAACACATTATTGATGCTGATAAAAAGATTTAGGGGCTGAGAAAGGAGAGGTCATTGAAAATACTCTCTTCAATAAGGTTTCTGGATTATGTTAACTCATTTAGGCTAGCTCGCTTGTTGATTTATTTTCAGGCTTGTTAGTACAGATAACTAACAACTGAAAGATTTACAGCTATGTACAATGGCACCTCTTAAAAAAATCCCAAGAGGTAAAGATGCTCCTTTAACAAACTTATCCAAACATTGCACAGAATATAAAGCAGTAGTTTTCAGCTATCACTAAGAAGTTCTTGACAGCAATTAATAATAAATGTGAAACACCTCCACTTGAGAGTAAAAAAGCATGTCTAAAACTTACTAGGAAGAGAATAACATGCCCCTTCTGGTCATTATAGCTATTCCAAAAATGAATAATTCAACATACAACTGACAAAAGCAAAGAACAGGATATATAAAACTGTCTTACAAGCCCATAAGGCACTTTCCAAAAGACCATTCAGCAACCATAGAGGGTTAACAGTATCTAAACTCTCACAAGGAATTACTTATGGTAACTGGATAGTATTCAATACCACCTGTGAAAACACCTGTTTAAAGTTATACTGCACAATAGGAAGAGTGGTTATCATGAAGTAATCACACGCCCAACATGAGAAGAAGCAGGAGGTCTAGTGATCACATTGAACTCATTAGAAAGAAGTCCCTAGAGTAGAGTTCTGTACTTGTGAAACTCCACATTAAAAGAAAATTTGAGTCAATGGGGGAGGGGAGTTTTGTTAAGGTTGGGCTGAAGCATGGTTCTCTGATAGGAAACACCTTTCATTTTCAAAGGATGAAATTCAGAGTTTTCCAAAAACAAAGGGATTATGTTCTCAGATCATTCTCACAGCAGTTTTCCAATGGGTTGAAGATCTATGTCATGCAGGTGCTGGCAGCTATCACTGTATGCTTGTTCTACGAGAATGCAAATTATTCAGTATAATTAAACTGGCTGTGTTTACCAGTGCTTTCACTGAAAGTCTGGTTTCAGGCATTACACTATTTTTTTTTTACGTGACTTTTTAACAAGAGTGAAGAAAACAACCATTTTCCACCATGAAATTAAAACTGATTTTCATGTCAACACAATGAAACTATTTTACAAGGATTCTTACACTGGCTTCATACTACTCAAAAACAGAGGGAATCTGAGGAAAATCTGTTAAGAAAAAAACAAAGACTATATTGGTTCTGGTACCTACAGCATTACATCTTCCTCAAACAGTCAGATCACACACATCACAAACCACAGCTGACTAGACATCAGAGCTGCTCAAGCTCTGGCTCTGCTGTAGCAAGGGAACAGGGCAAGACCCCAGCAAATGCACAGTGAATTACGGCATATTCATGTAATAAAATCCTGGGCAGAATTTTAAACTAATGCTCTAAAACAGCTAGAGACAAACAACAGAAAACCAAAACCAACCAAACAAAAAGCTGTCAACTCCAAGCGTTGGCAGGGAATGGAGTACAGGACACTTTCATATAGCTGATAGAAGGGTAACATATCAGGGCCCCTTGCTAGATATACTAGATATATGCTAGATATACTAGATCTACTAAAAAGATCTATTAGATTTACTAAATTTACTAGAATCTACTAAAGCTGAACATATATGATCCAGCAGTTCATTCCCACAGAAATGTGTACATACCCAAAAGAATGTGTTAAAAAACACATACAGGAAGGCTTTTATGAGCATTTTCTATCATAGTCCCTAGTTTAAAAAAAACTCAAATACCCAATCACAGGAAAATGCACAAACTGTGGTATTTTTGTATTCTACCATACACTACTATAGACTGTTACTTATTGCTGTTGTTTAGTCACCCAGTCATGTCCGACTCTTTGTGACCCCATGGACTGTAGCCTGCTAGGCTTCTCTGTCCGTGGGATTTCCCAGGCAAGAGCACTGGAGTGGGTTGTCGTTTCCGTCCCCAGGGGATCTTCCTGACCCAGGAATTGAACCCACATCTCCTGCACTGGCAGGTGGATTCTTTACCACTGAGCCACCAAAGACTACTATACCAAGCAGAAAAAGGGTAAGCTACTGTCATATGCAATCACAGGGATAAACCTCACAAAAGCAATGTTGGCCAAACATAGTCAGACACACACATATAAAGAGTCGTGCACAATACTATATGATTGAATTTATGTAAAGTTTAAAAACAGACCCAGTTTATCTATATGTATGATGATCAGAATCGTGCTTAACTGTGACTAGGAGGGAGGTTAATGACTGAAGGCAGGATGAGAAAGACCACCATAGTCACCAGCACTGTTCTTGAACTTAATCTGGATGGTGGTTGCATGTGTGTCTTCACTTTGTAAAAGTTGTTAAACAGGGTACTTTTCTCTTTACATTGTATTTCAATTAAAAAAAAAATTTTTCCCAAAAAAGTTAAAAATTCTATGTATTGCTAAAAAAATGAAGTATGTATCAGTATGGAAAGATGTCCATGATACATGGAAAAGTACATAGTTTAGTGAATACACTTACTTTTATATAATCTGTTGTTTTATACAGTAACAAAAGCTCATATATAGCCAAAGATACACTATATGAATATACAGTGGTGGACTCTCCCTCCATTGTGCATCTCTATACTGTTTTCTTACTCTGTCTACAAATATTTATTAATTTTATTTTTATCCTTTCCCTTTAAACATAACATACTTTATTGGTTGCTTTATAAACACTGTAATTAAGTTAAACAAAATATAAGTGCAAAAAGAAGTTAATTTCACCCTTCCCTGGCCAATTCCACTCTGGGGTAAGCAATGTTAACTGTTAAAATATGTTGTTTTGCAATTCTATGTGTAATAATTAATTTAACAGAACAGAGAGAAGTTAATAAAGAATAGCCTCCTGTCCAGTCTTTTGTGAGAGGAAGAAATAAACAAGGAACTTCTTCTTGTAAACTTAATCTCAGTTTTTATAAGAAAACAAAGTAATAAATCAGGTAGCCAGAAAAGGCACTATAAAACTAGAGCATCTACAATAATACATTTTACAATGATATTTTTTAGTTAGCACCTTCTTCTAGGGGCTGTTCCATGTCTTTTGAACTCCAACTGAGCTAGGTGTCAAAAGGCCCTGCAGCTTCTCTTTAGTGGGAGAAAATTCTCCTAATTCCCTTTACCACTGTTTCTACTGCTGAAAACAATGTCATTCTCTGAAAGTTTTACCTCCTCAAAATCTCTTTTTTACCTTTCACAGGGCAGACGAAAAGAGAAATTTACATATAACCTTCATATACTGAGTCTAAAACTAACCCCTGATTAATTTCTTTCCAATAAGTAAGTGATCACATTGTGTTCAAAGGATGAAAAAGCCTCCCTGCCCATCTCATTCATATTCCTTTCTGAGCTTCAGCTCTCTCAGGCTCCTTCCAGTTCCTCAAACACCATGTTCCCTTCCACTAGAGGGCTCTCCACCACAACCCATTCTTGTCCAACTCCCCAGTACTACAAATTTCAATGTTTCTTCTTCCTCCAACCTCCTGTGGCATGTGACGCTCACATCATCTTCACGCTTGGAATGCTGGATACAAACCCCAACACAACTTTTTAGCCAACTTCAGGGATTGCTGTTAGTGCCCCAAGATTCCATGTTTAAGCATCTTTTCTCACTACACTCTCTTCCTTTGGTCATCTCAACTACCAACAATCATTGTTTAAAGCATCTAAATACCAGTGACTTCTAGCTGCTGCTGCTGCTAAGTCACTTCAGTCGTCACTGGAGCACCAGACTATTACTTTCAAACCATCTCCTAGACAGCATCATGAGAATTTCCCACAGGCCTTCAACACAGTAAACTTGATTCATTAGCCTCCTCCTTTAAATCTGCTTTTCTTCCTGTGTCCTCCATCTCAGTTTTATCTTCCATTCTACTCATTCTCTGAACTCTCACATGCTTACTAAATACAATCTGTTCTCTTCCAAAAACTCTGTTTTTCCAGCCCTCATTCCTGCAGTTTGGAATCTCAGCCTCCTTTGCCTAGATAATGGAAATAGCTTTGATGAAAAGGACAAGTCATCTAAGATACATAAAATGAAAAATCCTCAGGTTCATATCCTTTTTAATTAGAAAAAGTGGAATGTTCTTCATGCAGTTTTCTACCTGAGAGCTACAGTCATTTCTGCAACTCACCTTCCACACTGTGAGAGATAGGTCTTAAAGTTTTTAAGTTAGAACACATGCATCCATTCCCCATAAAAATAATTCACAAACTCAGAGAAAAAAAGTCCTTCCTCTATCTTTAACCCTTCTCTCATTCCTTAAAGGTATATTTATTTGGTGTGAATCTTTCCAATTTCCTTCCTATGCATTTAATACACAAGCATGTACATATATGGGCTCCCCTGGAGGCTCAGACAGCAAAGAATCTGCCTGTAATGCAGGAGCCATGGGTTTGATCCCTAGGTTTGGAAGATCCTCTGGAGAAGGGAATTACCTACTCCAGTAATCTTGCCTAGAGAATCCCAAGGACAGAGGAGCCTGGTGGGCAGTTCATGGGTTGCAAAGAATCATACATGACTGAGTGACTATCGCTTTTACATATACACA